AGTTGCTAAAGTTCAGCGGTAATAAAATAACTTGAAATTTTCAACTTTTCACTTATCTTTTTGCACCAAATAGTATCGATAACAGTATCAATAAGTACCGGTATCGATAAGCAGTATTGGTATCGGTATCGATAAAATGAAAACGATACCCATCCCTAGTTATGATAGTTGATGAATAAAACAAACGTTCTTTTATCAACATAAAGATTTTAGGTTAGAATTTATATTGTAATATACAAGAAATTTGTACAGTATATTAGGTGCCTAATAAAGTTTTTCACCATTTATAATAGGGCTGTGCGATTTGGGGGAAAATTTTTTTGACGGATATTGCGATTTGATTTGCGATTTTAAATTTGCAAAGTCAAGCTTCAGCTCAATATTGCCAATAATGTGCAGCACAGTATGGGTATCATTACCCTGCTGAAAAAAAAACAATAGAAACTATCACAGAAATTCTTATAGTTTCCATTAAACCATTACAAAATTCCTTTTTGTTTTGGGCATTATTCCAATAGGAATTACTGTTGTTCTATTGGTTGCCATCTGCCAGATTACGTCCCACCAATAGAATCCATCAAATAGACACCATTATAGTTTACATTAAAACCAAACAAATTCCCATTATAACCCTGAAATCCATTAAATTTGTTATTGTGTTTTGGGAGGGGTTCTATTGTTTTTTTTTTTTTCAGCAGGCAAGATTATAATGGTATAACTACTTTTACAGAGTTAACTTAATTACTGAATTTCACAGAAAATATTTTTTTATTTTTTATAAATAAAGAACTGTATTTCTTAAGTCAGTTATTAAAGTATTACATTGATTTATTCATTTTAAGTATTTGGGATTTTAAGAGCAAGTGGAAAATGTGCTGAATGTTTCATTTCATCCAAGTGAAATTAGCAAGCAGTTAGACTGAATTTACATTCGTTTTAAACGCGGAGCCAGGCGCGAGTCGACACAGGTTGCGCGCGTGCGTCAAGCCTCATCCATACTGCCAGATGCGCTCGTGAAGACTTGAGGTGCGGAGCCGGGTGCGAGTATAAACGAGCATTACGAGACAGTCTGCGTGAGTGCGGCAAGCATGAACGCGTGGTGCAGAGAGGAGCGAGTATGAGAAGCATTGACAGACACAGGCTGTGTGTGCGCTCTTCTGAATTGGGAATAGCCAACATGCATTATAAACTTATTTCAAATTAATCTGTTGGGGAGATAAAATGTGTAAGATAATGTTCACGTACTAACAAAAACATCTAAGAATGTATCTTTTATTCTCCAGTACTGAAAACAGAACCGATACGGGAGCTTTTGATATGCGCTGTGACGCAGCTCTTGCAAATTACCTTTTTTGTTCGTTGTCTGTCATTTCGAAGCTTAAGTTGCATACGGTTTTCTTTAGTTTTAATTTGCCTAACTATCGATCTGACCCAGTAGACGCCATAATCCCACTCTGTCGCTCTCCCGCTTTCCGTTTTTTTTAAAATGGTGGGTGTTTACGCAGTTGGCTAGAGCAGTGCTGATTGGGGAGAACGGAGGTGCGCTCACTCTATTGGTTAGTAAGACTGCAACTCAAGGCTGGCAGTCATGCATATGCTCTGGAACAGAGTAATATCGCGTCCATATCGCAGGCTTTGCGATTAGGAAATCGCAACGTCTCAAATCGCGATTTCAATTCGATTTCGATTAACCACACAGCCCTAATACATATATATACATATATATACACATATACATATATATATATATATATTAGGGTTGT